GTTTTCCTGCAAAATGTCTTGATAAACTCTGGAATTTATTTTCCCATCAATGACAACAATCCATCCAGGCCCTGAGGCAGCAAAGCAGCCCCAAACCATGATGCTCCCTCCGCCATGTTTTACAGTGGGGATGAGGTTTTGATGTTGGTGTGCTGTGCCTTTTTTTTCTCCACACATAGTGTTGAGTGTTCTTCCCAAACAACTCAATCTTGGTTTCATCTGTCCACAGTATATTTTGCCAGTAGTGCTGTGGAACATCCAGGTGCTCTTTTGCAAACTTCAAACGTGCTGCAATATTCTTTTTGGACAGCAATGGCTTCCTCCGTGGTGTCCTCCCATGTACTCCATTCTTGTTTAATGTTTTCCTTATTGTAGATGTGTCAACAAAAATGTTAGCATGTGCCAGAGATTTCTGTAAGTCTTGAGCTGACACTCTGGGATTCTTCTTTACCTCATGCAGCATTCTGCGCTGTGCTCTTGCAGTCATTTTTACAGGACGACCACGCCTAGGGAGAGTAGCAACAGTGCTAAACTTTCTCCATTTGTAGACAGTCTGTCTTACCATGGACACATGAACATCAAGGCTTTTGGAGATACTTTTGTAACCCTTTCCAGCTTCATGCAAGTCAACAATTCTTGATCGTAGGTCTTCTGAGAGCTCTTTTCTGTGAGGCATGGTTCACATCAGACAGTGCTTCTTGAAACCAGTAAACCCAAAACAGGTGTGTGTTTTTTAAGGTCAGGACAGCTGTCAGCAACACATCCAATATCATCACACTGATTGGAGTCAAGGTTGGCTCACTCCTGGCTCCAATTAGCTCTGGGAGAAGTCATTAAGCTAGGACCTCACATACTTTTTCCTCCCTGCACTGTGAATGTTTACATGTTATGTGCAATTAAACCATGGCAACATCTAATGTTTGTGTAGTATTATGTTCAGCAGACTGTGTTCTTCTATTGTTGTGGCTTAGATGACGTTCAGAGCACATTTTATGCCCAATTCATGCAAAACTCTACGTAATCCCAAGGGGTTCACATACTTTTTCTTGCAACTGTAAATAAGTATGATGCCATATAGCACCATCATGTAAAAAGGGGTTACCTTCTGCAGAGCAGTTAACTTCTTAGGGCTCAGATCATATTTTTTCTTCTCAGTCCAGGGCATTACAAGATCTATCTATAGAACAATGGTATCTCCTTCCCACAAAGGTAACTTGGGGAAACTTCATCCCGACAGCCTCACAGCAGCTTCAGGGTAATTCTAGTGCGGCTCCTCAAGCTCCCTTCATAGAGACAGAGACAAGTCCCAAATTACCTGGAGCAGCACCAATGGGCGTGATGATCAACACCCACACCGTTGACCCTTGGGAACTCCAGAAAGCAACTAGTTTGGCAGAGCCAGATTACCAGTGCTACCATGGAGCCCAAAACTCTTTTCTGGTGTTTGTTCACCAGTGTCTGCCCACTGCTTTCAAGCTGTTCTTTTATGTGGAGAGTTCAATATTAGTTCTAATATAGATCTGTGAAGTCAGTGTTTTCCCTGAGTCCATCCAAGTTTATCCTGTGGTGTGCCCTGATGAAGGGGGAGCAGTGTTGCCCCCAAAACTCATTCTTTTTTTACCAACAGTTAAAATTATCCTGGACTCTCTATCCAGTTTTGGTCTGGTGATCCTTTCTCTATTTCTGTAGTTTGAGCTACTGTTGGGTGCCCATCAGAGGAGGCATTGCTGGGTGGCAGCTGCCTCACCAGAGCTATTGAACTTGTTTGACGTTTTCCTTCATCTGACTGCCCTTGCGCGTCTAGTTTTTGTATTTGTTGGGTTTCCTCTAAGTTCAAGATATTGTTTGCTTTTGTCTGTTGTGGGAGAGCATCCTTAATAAATAGAGTAATTAGAAACAATATATGGCAAATAACTAGAAGGTTTGTTGCCAGTGGTGAATGTTAAGGAAGCATACAAATATTTTGGGTGACTTTGGAGAAGGGTCCTTGCTTCCTGGGCTGTTGCCAGGAGAGGAGGCAGTGTTGGAGGTCCTTGCCTTCCAGGTCCTACCTGAAGAGTTGGGATGCCACCCATCCTGTAATAAATGGGATCAGCCCAGATTTGATGTTGAAATATTGTTTACCATGTTGTCTCTTTATGTGATGCAATTTGTGCTATATTTCCACATCTGACCTGTTGCTCCTGTCCCTCATCCATGGATTGCACCTGCCCATATTCCTCCCAGCCCTAATATCAGTTGTGCAGAATGTGATGGAATCTCTTAGTACTGGAGACAGGTGGGAGGTGTGGAAAGGATCAGCAGTAACACTGCAGAGTGGTAGGCTGAGCTCTGAGTCATGAGAAGGGGAGAAGGCAGTCTGCACTGCACACACAGTACACCGAGTAAAAGCAGACAGACAACACTGGAGCTTAGTGAGTGGGTGGCTGGTGGTGGTGACGGGTGAACAGTGCTGGAATAGGGTTGTAGGGGTGAGCTGTGTTGGAAGATGGTAGCAGGGGTTACAGAGGTAGCTGTGTTGGAAAGGGTAGCTGGGGGTGCACTAGTGAGCAGTGTTGGAAGAGGGTGGCAGGGGCTGCAGACAGGGGTGAGCTGTTGGCAGGAGATGCAGAGATGAGCAGCGTTAGAAGAGGGTCCAGAGGATGCAAAGGTGAGTAGTGTCAGTTGAGGATAGCAGGGGGTGCAAAGATGAGCAGCATTGGAAGAGGGTTGCAGGGAGTGTAGAGGTCAGCAGTATTGGAAGAGTAGAGGTGAGCTGTGTTGGAAGAAAAATGACTGGGGATGCAGAGGGGTATAGAGGTGAGCAGTGTTGGAATAGGGTGGCAGGGGATGATGATGTGAGCAGTGTTGGAAGAGGGTTGGAGGGAATGCAGAAGTGAGCAGTGTAGGAAGAGGATGGCAGGGCATGCAGAGGTAAACAGCATTGGAAGAGGGTGGCTGAGTTGAGAAGAGTTGAAAGAGGGTGGTAGGGGATGCAGACACAGATGAGCAGTATTGGAAAGGGTGGCATGGGGTGAATACAAAGGGAAGCAGTACTGGAAGAGAGTGGTAGGGTTGGCAGATGTGAACAGTGTTGGAAGAGGGTAGCGGGGCAAAGCCTTGCTTCTAGATCCAGAAGAAATGCAGGAAGAAGATGACTGCCTGTATAGAACATCTTAAGAAGAGAATGCTAATTCTTAACACCCTGGTCACATCAAGCCCGAATTTGAAATCGTGCGACTTACAGTGAAGTCGCACGATTTTTAAAGTCGGGGGAAATTTCAGGTACGATTTGCAAGACATCTGACACAGATGTCTATGCAAATTGAACCAAAAGTAGTGCATGTACTATTTTAGAAAGAAGAAAGTTGAACAGTGCAGAAATGTGGCAAATTGCTGCAGACTTACTATATGCTTTGTGAAAAGCTGTTGACTCTAACTGTAGTTTTATAAAAGTAATAATAAAGATACAGTGATTGGTATTTTGTTCACAATTACTAGATTTGCTGCACTTGGATTGAATAAGTGCTCTGTTGTTTGATTAAAGTGTTGCTTGAACCTTAAAGTAGACCTTGCATTAAAAAGCAAGGTCTGCTAGGCCTCCTACCCCATTTGAAATAGAAGCATAAATGTAAAAAAAAAAAATCTTAGGTACATTGCCTGCTTCACAGCACCTACCTAGGTGAGTGTGACATCACCATTTATCCTGGAAGATCCCAAGAACATGCTAAAGACTGTAAATCTCATGAGAAAATGTTTTTGCACTGTGTTTGAGTTCCCTTCTTTGAGATTTGAGGCATTCCACATTCTCCAGGATTTCGTCAGAAACATCATGATGCACAAAAGGTAAATATATGTTGTAACTTTTTCCCCTATAGGTGTTTCTTTTTTTTATGTAGCACTACCCCCTTCGGAGTTGCAAGAGATTTGGGTCCCCTATAGTCCTGCACAGCCATGCAACATGCATTTTCTTTACTCAGACTTGTATTAGGAGACAGTAACCAGTCCTTGAGCTTTGTTTTAAGTTTTATTAGGGGATTTAGAAATTGGTTGGGGTAAGGGGTTTATGGGATGCCCAAGGGAATGGCAATGGAGGACAAACTCCTTATCAAGTATATACAAGTCTCTACAGCAAAGTTTCTTTTCTGGAGAGGTAGCCAGCATCTCCTGTAGTACCACCCCAGACTCTCTTCTCATCCAGCTGTACTGGGTGAATCCATGAGCAGGGATCCAGTGCCTGCCACTGCAGTGTAAACAGTCCCGGGTAAGATATAAAATCCAGTTTCCTACTAGAGTGCTCTTTTCCCCTTACTAGCTACCAGACCTTCTAGCTGGGCCACTCTTTCCCTGCCACACAGGTGGTCCTCTTTCTGTGGGTCGGTGATCTCCAAAGTTTTCAGCCTTTCAAGGTCCTCTGCCTGCAGGTGAGCCCCTCTCCATCTGGGCCCCCTCAGAGTCTCCAGCCTCACACTCTCTCTTCTACCCGAACTCTCCTGCTGCTGAGCAGGCTCAGCTACTTTTAAAGGTTGTCCTGGCCCCTTGCCAAGCCTCCTGTTGGGCATTGGCCGGGATCCCCTAAGAGTACAAATCAGCCATTCCTCAGATCTGCCCACCGCCTCTAGACCTCCCTCCAAAGCTCTAGAGCAGGGGGAAATTCCACAGGGGCTGGTCTGTAGAGCCTCTCATCCTTGACCATAATTTTACCTCCCTCTGACTGTTGCACCAGGCTGCTACTCAGCCTCTGCCTAATGATTAGGATCTAGCTCCCCCTAGCTATCTAGGAGGGTGCTACATTTATATTAATGCTGCAATTTACAGTGGGGTTATAGGCCCTAATATATTAAGGAGATCTTGCTTTTCACTGCAAGGTTCACCCTAGGTAAAACAAATTAACATTTAGCTATTATAACTATATCAAAGCATATCATTTTGCAGAAAATTATTTTTTAATAATTTTATTTCAAACACATTGAGAGGATTTATGGTTGCAGTTCTAACGCATTACATATATTCAATCTATAGGACCACTGTCTTGTTACTCCGCTCCCCCTGATATAAAAGAGAAACGGATCGAAACCACTGTGGAGAACAAAACAGGCCAATGCTATAGGGGCAGTAAGCCTAGTGAAGTTCGATTCTTCGCTAGCAGAAATGAAATGTCTCCAGAAGCTGTGGATATTTGCCAACCAGACATCAGGAACCTTATCCCAGCTAATATCAGACACAAGTATGGCAGCTCTTTGGTTGAGCAACTCATTTCTCCAGAACAGGTAAGAACAATTGTGAGGCAAAAATCACCATTTTCAGCATTTCAGCTTATGAAGTGAAAATTTTTAATCTGTCCCATGTAGGTGCGAAACAGCCTGGGAGATGTGGATAAGAGAACAAGGAACATGTCCAGAGTCACCCTGAAACACGCCACACTGAAACCCTGGCTTATGGAAGAATATCCACATAAGATATATTATGAGCTAAGTCACTGCCTCCGTAGTAATGTCTTTCCAGGTGATGGTTATCTTGTCTTAGGTTTGCTTTGTTTGCACATTATATTTCTTTTATAATAAGAATATACTGTATATATTATGTAAACAATTATGCCATATCAGGAGTCTGAAATGATGACCACTTCTCTTACATGTTTGGCCCAAGGACCCCTAGTAGTGATAACAGGTGGCACAACGGCACTAAAGTAGCACAAATGCCTGCAGTGCATATCTAAACATATTGGAATTTAGGATCACTTTTCATATGGGAGCAAAATGGCAGATTGAAAATATATGCAGTGCTGAGGAACAGGAGAGGTCAGAAAATGGAAGACAGCACTGAAGAGAGTCAGGAGGCAGATTCGTCATTGGAGTGACAGGGCAGGATCAACAACTGGCACACATAGGTCCAGATGGGGTCAGCTCGAGGGCAGGTCAAAGATACTGCTGAAAACCATTCAGCATTGATCCCATGCAGGACTCATCTTAAACAGATGGTGTGGTGGCAACACCAGCATGGGGTATAAGCATTTTTGTGTGTAGACGTAGTCATCAGTAATCCTATGTGAAAACACACCAGCAACAACAGTTTTAGAAATATATATATGCTGTATAGAGGGCTTATTTTCTCAGAGAAAAGGTGCAAGAACTCACCCCCCCCCTCCCCTAGGTCATGCCTGTTCCCGCCCCTACCCACCCCTACAACCAGCCCCCTAGGAACGCCAATTGTCTCCACCCCTACACACCTCCTAGCACTACCTCCTTTAGAGGATAGGGAACCAAGTATAATTTAGGGGGCTATACAAATAATTTGTATGGAATTTGTTAATAGAAAACAATGTAGTAAGTGTACAAAACATTTGAAACTGCAAGTTCAGGATGAACATATCACAAAAAGAGCAAGAAGGGGTATCCATAGTGTAAAATCGTATGATGTTTTATTAAAGAATAAGTAACAAATTCTGCTCACAAGTAAAGTGTCTGTGCCTGCCACCTGGTATACTCAGCCTTACTATTAAAGTGTGCAAAACCGCTGTGCTAAGCACTCCTCAGAGCGACATGCGTTCCATAGGCCGGATGTGACGTCAGCGGAAGTTGCGTCATCAAACCTCAACGTGTTTCGCTCAACGATCAACACTTTACTTGTGAGTGGAATTTTTTACTTATTCTTTAATAAAACATCATACGGTTTTACACTATGGATACCCCTTCTTGCTCTTTTTGTGAGATGTCCATCTTGAACTTGTGGTGATCTGGAGAGAACCAACTTCATTGGGTTATGCCCCACATGCGTTTTAGACCACTTGTTTCACCATTTGGGACTTTTATAATGGCAATTTGTTTTGTATATTACTGTAAGGTTTGAGTCATATGCACTTAATGATATGTATAATATCAATGCGCGGTCTGCCTAGACCTTTATTATTCATGTATTGTATTAGTATTGCACAATTCTTTTAGGACTGCTATAATAGTTCAAATTTCCTTTTTTTTTAAATTGTTAAGTACTGCACAGCCATAAGCGCATGACCACTATTTTAATTATAAGATACAGTATAGCTGCCTGTAGGTCTTGGTCTGCTTTAAAAATAAATAGTGTCTTGAACCACATGCAGCTAAAAGGTATGTTTAGATAAGAGAAGAATGCAGTGGTACTCAATTTGTTACCTTAGGCAATTAAAGTAATATCGCTGTGACTTTTTTTTTTTATCTGTTTTTTTTATTGTATGACATGTCTCACAGAAATTTCTCCCTTCAGGGATACCCATAAAACAACATAGCCTGGCTCACGACTCGTACACTGCAGAAGTAAATGAAAGAGGTAGACTAAATAAGAGCCGCAACCAACACTGGCATGGAAGGAAGACAGATGACTTAGGTATTTACTGATTGCTGCCATTATAGAGCCACAAGATTTCCACAAGGCTGAGTACTTTTTTGTATTTGGTTAATAGTATATTTGTTCTTGTAAAATCCATCAGAAGTATATAAAAGGTTACAGATAAGTCTTGGCAGACATACCTTGGCTTAAAACACTGTTTAGGGCAACTTTTGCACTTGAAAATCCAAGACCCTACATTCACAGTATCTGGTCTACCACAGTACACAAAACATGGACATGCAATTATTTTAGTATATATAGACTGCTAAATACCTTTTCTCATCAGCAGTATATACAGTAGCAGTCGTGTGACTTCTATCAGTGTCAAGCTGAGCACTGTTTAATCTTGTAGGAGATTTCATGCACTAATTGGCCCTGTGCTGATCACATGCACCCTTCCAAAAAAAAAAAAACTCTCTAGCAATATACACCAAACAAAGCATGTGCAGACTTGCCACTGCTGCTCTAACTCATTTCTGTATGCAGTGTCCTGATAAAGCAATGTAAAGGGCAATGACAATATGCAAAGCTGAATTTAGATCTATTAAATATAAATTCTGATTAGTGTTTAAAGAAACAGAGCTGCTCAAACATTTTGCAAAATATTGAGATTTGAGGTTAATATGTATTATCTGAGCTTTCCAATTTTATATATACAGTATATATATATATATATATATATATATATATATATATACCCTCGTGGGCCACTGTGTTGTTGGTACCCGTAAGCTCTGCACAACCAAGCAACCAACAGGTATTTTTCACACAATCTTTCATCCAAAATACAGTAACCAGTCCATGGGCTTGGTTTTTGTTATATTATTAGGGGAAATAACTTGGATAGGGAAATAGGGATTATGGGATGCCCAGTTTGGCTGGAATCAATGAAGAGGGAACAACTTCCTTCCTATGTACAAAAAACAGATCCTGGACTGTTCTTTTCCTTAAAAACTGTCAGTCTTAGTGGATCAGTAGCAACAGCCCTTTATGGGCTAGGAACTAGCAGCCCCTCAAAAATCAGCTTAGTTTCTTTTAACTACATGCAGAGATATATTCCCTCCCCTTGTAGAGCTGTTCCCAGCTCCACAGCCTGCAGACACTACCAGCCCCCCTGGCTGCTCGGAAGATCTCCCAGGACAAGGATAATTGATTGAGCCCAGCGCTGTCCTTTGAAAGCTTGCTACATGTGGCGGTATTTCCCCTTTTGGATCCCAGGAGTGGTGATGTACTCACTCTGTCCTCTTTGCTCCCACTGCTTCAGGTCTCGATCCCATTCATGCTGCACTGCTGAATGTATCCTCCTGAACCAGCCCGGATCCCAACCTGGAGGCTGTCCCCACCAAGACCTAGGGGACCCCTCCCATTCACCAACAGTCTCCTCAGCATCTTCCACCTGTTTTCTCTGTCAGCCTGACTCTCCCATATTTATGGACCAATCTGCCACTCTACCAGGGCCTCCAAACCTGGCATTGGGCAGACTCCCATAAACATGCAGATTAGGTCTCTCCCCCTTCCTGCTTACCGACTTCCGTGAAGGTTCTATGGTCCTCCAGAGTCAGGAGGAGGTGATAGAGCCACAACCTGTTAAGCCATCCAGCTGACCTGCAATAACCCTACCTCAATTGCAGACTCACACAGTTGCGAGTCATACACATTGATTTTACCTGCAATACATTACACTATTCTAGTAGCGCTAGAGGGTGACACACACACACACAAAACATATATATTATATTATATTGTATTATATTAGGACTAGTGAAAGTATTCAGGTGGTTCTGATGGCCTTGGCCATGGCCTTAGCTTAAGTGGCCTTCCAACATATCTATGCTTGATCAACATAAACAAAACAAACAGGTCCTAAAAGATCCAAATATGTTCTAAAAACTATAAATACACTTATTTTGGATGTGACTATCATGTTCCAGTAATATGATGATCCATTGATAATTTTATTTTCACTTTATCTTTGCTATGATCATGTACCTGAATCTTGATGTATATTTCAGACCATAGTATATTTGTTAAAGGAATATTCTTAGCATTTGGGGTTGATGTCAACACTGACCTGCATCCTGTACTTTTTCCAGGCAGGTGGCATGAGAGCAACTTTAGATACATGGCTCTAAAGAAGTGTCTAAAACAGAGGGAGGCTGAGGGGAAGAAATAACTGTTTGTACAGTAAAACTGCTTGTACTACAATATTGCTCCTGTTTTTGAAATGTTTTAGATTCTAATGTCTCTTTACTTTCTTTCATATCCTACAAATAAATCATTGTGTATTTTAACTGAAGCTGTCTGTTTGTGATAGTGGAAAATATACCACTTATTTGAAAATTACTGTTTACCATGTGGGCGAATACCTTGGTATTGAAAACCTGAGTAAAAATAGATTAGCAAAATATTAAATTCTCTTACAAAAGCAAACTCAAATAGTTAAAATGTTTTTCACTTAAATCAGCCAGTCCAGGCTGGGGAAAGATCCCGACTTTAAAGTCAGGATCCACCCCAGAGTCTAGAGCGGCACCTAGCTCAGCATCTCAGTGATCCAATCGCTCACAGCAGTGGTGAGACAGTAATTCTGGGTATGGCAATCACATGACCACTGATGGCTGAGTAGCCATCAGTGGTCATGTGATTGCTGAGTTCTCATACTTAGGGCCAGCAGGGGGCAAATGCAGCCTCGGACCAATGCTGCATCTACCTAGGTAACAAACTTCTCTTTTAAGGATCATGAAACTAAAAAATGGTCCGTGTGAAGGTCTAATGCCTAGCTGAAAGCTGCTTTGGTTGCCAAATGTTGTGTGCCTTCTGGCTCTAGTGATACAGTTCTGGCCTCGACAGAGTCCCTTAGTTTAGTTCATCTCACGGCAAACCTGTGCTTTACCCATGCTGGGCAAAGCGATGAGTCCACTTAAGCAGTTCACAGTCACCTTTTGTTCACCTCCCCACTGTTTCATTTTGCTGATGGGATCAAGAAAAGGAAGCTCTGGGAAAGCTCTGAGTCACACTAGACGGTGTTTATACAAGGACTCTTTCTATGCCCCCATGTGACAGCCCTGGGCCAATCATCAAGCAGCAGCACAATCACATAAAGGGAAAGGGGAGGGAGTCATATTCCCCATCCATACCCAGAATTACTGAATAATTTAGAGTAACTGGAGAGCACAGGAAAGGTGAGCATGCTGCTGGGGAGGAAGACATGTGCAAAGTACAGTTATTCTTCACATTCCCTGTAAAGTGATCTGATTTACTAGGCAGAAGTCTTCCAAGTTTTATGTCACTCATGTCTCATCTTGTTATGTAAGCTCTTTGGTCACTAAAGCTAATGGAGAGAAACGCCATTGCCAAGATCCTGGAAAGTCAACAGAAACCTTCCCTCGTTTTTCCATTGCTTGTCCACCCTGCAGTCCCCATGGATGATCCTCCACCTCCACCATCAAAAGCCAAGAAGCCAAAGAAACACAAACAGGCTAAAGCCAAGAAGCCAAAAGCACAAATGTATCCAGTTATACAACCTGATGAAGATGATGATTTCTGGGATTTCTATGACAAACCCATTCCATGATGTCTTGTAACCATAAAACCAGGGACCTCTTTGGAATTCAAAAGCAGATAGTGATGTAAAGACTTGGAAGTCCTGCTGTCATTGCTATTTTAAGACATGGGAATGTATATATGTACTGTGTGCACATGTGTGAAACACTACCAAGGAATAGTAATGTATGTGTCACAGCAGTAAATTCATCCAATTTTCAAACTCACCTTCATCAATGCCAGCCTTTTAAAAAAGTCACCCTGCAGACAATGCTTGCTTGCTTCTTATGGCAGAGCAATACAGATTTCAAAAGGATTGTTCTGGGAGGATTGTGCGCATAACCTAATATTTTCCTTTTGTTTAAAGTTTTTTTTAATGTTTAGAGTAATGTGACTATGATATGATATAAGGTCTTAAAGCGGAACTACAGTAAACGCTCTAAATCTGGGGTGCTCAACCTGTGTCCTTCGGAGCCCTCCTATGTGGCCCTTGACCTCAAACCAGGGAAGTGCGCTTCTATTATATCCTGTGGGTTTGGTCTGCTTTCAGAAAACATGCTACACCAGCAAGATTTAATAGAAGTTGATGGCAAAGCACAGCTAACCCACAGGAAAGCTGCAGGTGCACTGCGCTGCACCCATGGTGCGGGTAAACTGCACCCATCAGTGTGAAAGCAGCCTTACAGGAGGCTCAGGACAGTAAGGGTTTGTCTACATTTGCAGTGTGTGTGTGTGGGGGGGGGCTGTAAAATCTCACAATTTTTCCCACCAGTCCCCCCAAATACTGGTGTAGTGTCAGGGGTTGCAGTGTTGACCCATGCTCCAGAGAGCCTGTGCTTTCACATTCTGTTTTACATTTGGACAGGAGGGGCGGCATATACAGGAACTGACCCTCTTCATTTTCCTCTTGCAACTGTTGAAAGCCGACTGCAGGAGAAGAATGTTCATTATGCTATTCAAAATAAAAAAATTTAAATTTGGAATCATTTAATTTCATTGTGGCCCGTGACTGCTTACCAAATCACTTAAGTGGCCCTCTCTCTTTAAAAGGTTGAGCACCCCTGCTCTAAATCAACATTAACCATTTTTTTAATCAATATGTTGCTAGCATTAGTAAAGATAAAAAGACATATTGCATTTTCTTATTTTAACTTTTTCTTTTACATTTCTTCAGTTGCTTCCTGGTTTCTGCCTAGGCCAAAATTATGTCATATATCCCGGGAGTCTTCATGGGCTAAGTCTTCATTCAGGCTGCATGCCTGAGCGAAGGGCAAATAAATTCCAGGAAGTAAATGCTACATGAATCATTTTCCCTTACTCAAGATGGCCATGGCTAGAAATGCTAGTGGGTTTTTTTTTTTTTCAGAGTGATTTCTTAATGAGATAAAACATGGAGACATGGATGAATGAGAGTTTGTTTTGAATATTAAAAATGAATTGAAAAGCGGTTTCAGTGTGTGGTGCTCAGATACCATTTAGTTCTGCTTTAATGCACATAAATGAATTACAATTTCCTTAATGACATGTTTATTGAACTTGGCTTGGCATTGAAAATAATATAATACTTCTCTGCCTGCAGTTATTCCAAATAAACAACGTGCAAAAAAAAAAGTGAATGTACAGTGGAAATTCTTAGTACGAGACTTTCATCGTGGCTGGTGTGAGGCACAGAAGTGTTCTTTTCCTATAGTCACTTATTCTCCATCTACCCACTCAGTAGAGTTTCCTTTTAAGTTTAATGGTGGCCATACACGCTTTGATTTTATTATCCATTCAATCTGAAATTCAATCAAAATGATCGAATAGGCAAACAATCAAATGGGAATATCTTAATTTCCAATTGACGTAGGCTTAATTTAGATCAGATGCAGTTAAACTGAGTTGATCAGCCAGGGCGGATAATCATCGATTGTGTTGCCTCGATGGACAGCACTGAGATGCTTTGTTTGTGAATTTGATTGTATTTTGATCAATCAGATCATGAGATTGCATGGGAAAAACAGAGAAGAAATCGATAACTTACAATCCAAATATTGATCGAAATCCATTTCCTCATGTGTGGCATATTGACTGACTGGGTTTTTGACTATACTGTAGAATGATTATACCTATTGCAAGAGATTGATCAAAAAAGAAATCAGTAATTTAACATTTTTGTTCTTTTGTCCACAGCTGACAGACATATGCAGGGTTCATGATTTTCCAGGACTTGATAATCGGATATAAAAGGAGCAGGATATTAGGAATATAGTCAGTAAACTTATTTTCTATATAGAATATGGAAAATATTTACTTTAAATAAAGAACTGGTAATGTTTTTAAATTGGAACAGGAGGAATAAGATATTAAATATTCTGTTTGGAATATTGGAATATAAAACTGCTAGTTTCCAAGAAATATGTGGAGCCAGTTGGTGAGTCAACCCACATGGTGACTTTATCTGGCATCCACCTAGCAGACTACTGCTCTGGGAGCATTGTTCCACCTTGCGTGCAAGCAGTAAGAGGGTGCATTGTATATATGCAAGCCATTTGTACAGACTGATCCCCTACTAGTGCCTGCATAGCTTGGATGCTGACAACACTCATTAAAGAGATACGGGACCAGATGATCATCTCTTCATTTCTCTAAGGTAAGTAACCACTGACACAAATAATCTTTTAACTGTGTGTAATGGACATTCTTTCCATTGACTTCCACTATGAGAAGCAGTCTTCCCATTTACCATTAATGTAAGTGGAGACTTTTTCTTTGACCACCAATGTAAGGGGGCACTTCTTCACTGACCACCAATATAAGGATGCACTTCTTCACTGACCACCAAAGTACATGGAATGTTTTCCACTAACCTCCAATATAAAAGAGGGCAATTCTCCACTGCCCACCAATGGAAAGGTGCATTGATTCACTGACCATTAATGACCCTTCTGTCACTAATGTAAGGGGACCCTTCTGTCACTGAACATCAATTTAATAGCTCTCCCTGCCACTGACCATCAGTGTAAGAGGGCTTGTTTCTTTGCTTATTACTGGAAAAAAAAATTGTGATATAGAGAAGGTAGTGTGTTAGAAAATTAACCAGCACACCACTGCATACACCCAAAGCTGTATAGTTTGAACAGCATTTGTAGACATTTAATACATTTGATTATGTTTCTATTGCATAGCAACTAGAAACCTATTATATAGTGGTGTTTATAGTAATGGACCTGTATAACATCTATGGCAGGTGTGTCCAACCATGCGGTCCAACACAAAATCATAAACAAGTGTTACAAATGTTGATTTTTTGGAATTATTTTGAGAAAATGTGTGTACATTCAGCAAACATGTGGCTGAAGAAAAATTTGATAGTGTCTCTTTAAATACCCCACTCTTCACAATCACGCCTTATTCATGTCATCAGTTTTTGGCAGCATCTGTGTTTGTGAGCAACTATTTTCAAGGATGAAGCACACAAAGGGCAAAATTAAAACCAAAATATCTGATGCGCACCTTGAGAATTGCTACTGCATCCATCAAACCAAATATTGATGCTTTCACTTCATCAAAAACAGTGTAAAATTTCACTCTAGTTTTATGTTGCCTTCTTTTACTTTTATAATAAAAAAAATATTACAGAAAAATGAAGTTTTATTTCTCAGGTACATTATCTATATCATTGATCGTTAACCTGTGATCTTCCCAACTTTTTCTGCTCCCCAGCTATCCTTATTGTTAGTGTATTTTATGTGTGGCACAAAACATTTCCTCTTCTTCCAATGTGGCCCAGGAAAGCCAAAATGTTAGACACCCCTGATCTATGGAAATTATCCAGTAATCTATTCTGTAACCAAAGCGAGATAAAGACAACCTCAAAGGAAGGTAGTCTCATTGTTTTGGGCCATGTGTTGTGACAAAAGACAGTCTGTGGCTAATAACACAAAATAACAGTGAAATACAAGTACGTCATAAAAATTTATCAGCACTGGACTAATTTTATTGAGGTATTAATAGCTTTCTGCTATCAAGGTTACAGCAGTGCATTAATTATGGCGAGACAGCTACAGAAATGTTTGCCATAAGCACTGAAAATCCCAAAACTCCAAGGTTTGTGATAATATTCTTACAGTACAAAAACAACTTTTACATCTATTGCAAAGTACTAAAAAGCGTCAAGTGTAATTCTAAGTATGTGGCAAAGCAAGATACCCTCTTTGCATGACTTTGAATGCTTGTACAGCAGGTAGAGGCGGGTCTTCTGGTGCATTTTGCTGGTTTTGTTCAGTGGCTGGTGTCATTTTGTTTTCTAAATTTTCTTGGCTTCCACGAAGTCCAGGGAAAAAAAAAACAGTAATCTCCAACTTGCTTCAGCAAGAGTGGCCCAGATCCATCAGGGTTAATCATCATCAATGGTCCTTCTGGCAATGCTTGGAAGTTAGATGATGCAGGGATTGCAAAGTATTTGTTATCAGGAGCAGAGTTCTTGACATTATTCTGCATTGGCTGAACAGAAAGTGGTTTCTCCATACTAATCACATAACCCAATTGATCCCCTGGTGGCTGAGGTTTACATGATTGGGTGGTTTCTTTAGGAAGATTAAATATCTCAGCTTGGCATCTAGGGAGGCTAAAATACCCTGGATGCTTTGTTTCATTTGAAACTAAATTTGACATTGACTGAGCACCAGTGAACATCAGATACGGTCCATTATAGCTCTTTTTAGAAAGACCTTTCATATCCTCTGATGCAGGCATTGTAGTAATGCCACTTTTCCCTCCAGTGTCCAGAGATTCACATTTGCTCTGGTCAGGCATGATCTTCTCCTCTGCTGGTGGTGGTAATAAATTAGATCTCAGCAGACAAACACCAGAATTTAGAGCTTTCTCTGTCACCAATTCTTCTGCTGATTCATACGTTGACTGTGTTGCTACTGGACTGCAAATGTTCAAAGAAAGTTTAAGACATGAAAACAGTCATTGACAAAATAAATACCTATAAAATAAAATATAGGTTCAATAATTATAATAATAACATAAGAAAATGGCACATGATATAAAAGGAAATCACTGAGAGTCACAGTAATGTCACTTCTATTTAAGACTTCTTCAGCAGAAGACATTGTGTCTCTGTATTCATCTATCAATGTTTCATCTATGTAAATGAATGTGATTGAGTCTTATTTTCCCATTTTGATGTAGAATATAGTTAAATTATAGAAAGATGCAACTATAGACACACACACAGCATAGCTTAGCCCCCTTGCTGCTCACAGGATTTGATTGACAGCAGCAGAAGCCAATGGCTTCTGTGACCAGAGAGAGAGGAGAGAGCTTCCAAAGATGGGGACAGCTCTGGATCAAAATAGGACTCACTCAGGTAAGTATAAAGTGTGGGGGGGAGGGGGCAATACAAACACTGTGACATTTTTACTTTATTGCAGGAAATGCATCAAGGTAAAAAAATGGCCAGGCTTTAGAACCACTTTAAATCTACATATATCACATACAGTATGTCTGCTCAGCCTGGTGTTTAAACTCGCTATGTGTTGTGACCTCCTGCATTAGTTCTGAACACAGGCATAGAAAGTTTGCTGCTGATGGAGCACAGATATATGACTCTGGGATTTAATTCTTCCTTAAGCTGGGTATAGATGTATCCAAATTCGGCAGGAACAAGCCAATTTTGGTATGTGTGTAGACCTGTCTGTTCAGTAGAAGACGCTTGTTAGACCTGCTTCTGTTGAATAGCCCTGCTGGAAAACCAGCGTTCTATCACCCATTGGCTACAGTGTTGTTACTGCTATGCTAGATAAATATCCCTGGCCGCCCAGGTGGGAAGGGGTTAACCCAAGTTCCAATGTTTCCCAGGCTTGTCTATGCTCTGCCCCCCACCCTGTACTGCTAGTAAAAAGGGGGAAGGCTCTGCTCAAGGGGCTTGGAGCCATGGCTACGCGGAAAGAAGCGCAAGAGGTTGATCATGAAGATGTAGCCACTAACAACCTGCAAAGCACCCTCTGGGGATGTCACCTGGACCAGGACATTCTCATATTTTGGACTACTGTCTGGGGAAGGTGTGCATTGGCCAGCCTGTAAATAAATAGTTATGAAGAGATTGTTGATGTAATATTAGACTGTCGTGTTGAGTGTGTCCAGTAAAGGTTAACTGTTCTGTACCTGGTCTGACGTTATTGCATTTTGCAAAAAAAAGGATCTGTTTTACACACACGGGGTGAAGAGGAGTACATAACGTTTCTAACGGTAACCATCGCAAGGGAATGATTTGACAGACAGACAGTGGAAGTACAGTACCGGCAAGGGTGACATGTTCTCTGCACAGCGAGGAGAGCACTTCGCTGTTTACCTCCCTAGTAGTCGGTGATTTGGTTAACCTGGACCAAATTCACATGGCGGAGACTTTAGGGAACTAGCTGCAGATATAGGAGCCGTTAATCAAGTCAAAGTCATGCATGCAGAGGGGTCCACTTGGGCTCATGGCAGGACTTATACGCTATCACTGGGAGAGAGGTGATAGGAAGAATCAGTGGAACGGGACATAGCTCTGCAGTGTTCCCTTCGAAATGTCACATTCTGTAGAGGTGTATGTATCATGAGATAGTGTGGCTCATTCAGTAAACCACAAGTTGTGATACAACTGCACCAGGTGTACAGCTCGCTTTTAATCTGGGGTGTCGCCTTAATGCTGCATTGGCATTAATGCGGCCCTGCCTTTTCCCAGGCATTAGCAGGGTATATACCTGAGAGAGATAGGCCCTGTTAGAATACATTTGTAGGCGGGGCCAGCTCAACCTTCTGAGGGGGGTGTAAGAATACAATAGTGAAGTGGGGGTGTTCCTTGCATCCACATCACTTGTGTGGAAGCTGGAATCTCTCCAGTTTTTTTACATTCAACCCACTGGTTGACTGAAAACAAAAAAAAACTTTGTCTGTATACCGTACTTTAGACCTTTTCTTTAAACCTAAAATATTACTAAACTAAATACCACATGTTTTGTGATACTGAATTCAGTATTTCTGTATTAAATACTTTTGTTTTATATCCGGCCTTTGAATGAGCATATCACATCACGTTAAAATGCTGTGTAAAATCTCCTATTTTCCTGTACTCTTGTCCTTTGGGAAAGCCTAAGGCTCATATCCAACTTATGATCATGTCACTGGTGACAGAATTGTTAGGAGTTCACTTAGTTTCTCCTATGGTGTTGCTCCTTCACTATGATGTTTTGATCAGAGACTTCCATTAGGTAAAGTGGCAGCTGAGCCTCTGTGATTCTGTGCTGTGTGGGACACCCTGCCACTGTAACATGAGCCTAATTCCAAGCTTGTGGTCCAATAGGCCACCGTTTCTGAACAATCCAAGTCCTGCAGTCTATGTATGCATGAAGGAAATAGCCCAAGTATCTGATTAATTCCTCTGGTACTCTACAAGCCTAATAGATGCTTTTAAACTGGATCTGAACTGAAAAAGTGCAGATTTGCGGTTATAGTAAACTTTTAGAAATGTTAATTGTGGCTGAACAGTACCCTCAAATACACCGATGAGCCATAACATTATGACCACACACCATAACCCATTCAAAGTATGGATTCCACTAGATCTTTGAAGGTATGCAATGGTATCTGGCACCAATCAGTAGCAGATCCTTTAAGTCTTGTAGTGTGCAAGGTGGGGCCTCCATGAATCAGACTTGCTTTTTCATCATATCTCACAGGTGTTTGATTGTATTGAGATCTAGAAATTTGGGAGGCCACCTTGAACTTGTGTTCCTCAAACCATTTTTGAATTTTTTCAGACAAGGCCATCTTTTTCCATTGCTCTGTGGTCCAGTTCTGAAGCTCACATTCCCACTGTAGGCACTTTGGGCTGTGGTCACAGGTCAGCATGGGCACCTGACTGGTCTGTGACTACATGCCCCCATATGCAACAAAGTATAATGCACTGTGTGTTCTGACACCTTCCTATCAGAAGTAGCATTAGTTTTTTCAGCACTTTGAGCTACAGTAGATCTTCTATTGGATCCAGGGGCGGACTGACAACTCATGGGGCCCCCGGGCAATAGGGGATCATGGGGCCCCTATGTCCTTGCCCAAACTCAAAAAAGCCTATGAAAAAGGTACCAGGGGCATCTCATGGGGCCCCCTACTGACCCTGGGCCCTCGAGCAGTGCCCAAGTTTCCAAATGGTCAGTCTAATTGGATCAGACTACATTGGCAAGCTTTTCCTCTGTATGTGCATCAGTGAGCCTTGACACTTTTGACCCTGGTGCTGGTTCTCTGGTTTTCCTTCCTTGGACCACTTTTGGTATGTCCTGACCAATACAGACCAGGGATATGCCACCGGAGCTGCAGCTTTGCAGATGTTCTGATCCAGTCATCATGCCATTGCAATCTGGCCCTTGTCAAAGGCATTCAAATCCTTATGCTTTTTGCTTGATTTCGGGGACAACATGTTCACTTACTGCCTAATATGTCCTAACCTTTTTTTAGATGCCATTGTAATGAGATAATAAATAGTATTCACTTTGCCAGTCGTTGGCCATAATGGTATGGCTGATCGGTGTATGTACCCTGAGTCTGGAATTTCTCCTGAAAAATAGCAATGTGAATGTGCCACTCCTGTACCTACAGCCGTATATCTTCAGTGTGAGATCTAAGGTGCTGTTGCCTATGACTACTAGTTTCACCAGATATGGAATGAGATTTGTTGATGTCACTATTCATGTGTCAAACGAGCCAGAATGGTTGGCTAGAAGCTATTGTCCTCCCCAGTTTATGAATGTCCTGCACAGTCTGACAATAAGAAAATGACATCAGGCTCAAATAAGGTAAACAGAGAGGACTTTGATATAGTGGCAATATTTTCTGAACAGCATTAGCAGTTCACAAAAAGCTTTTTACTTGATGCCTGGAGTTGATTTTTAATGTATTGTTACGCACAGGCAATAGGTTTGCTTTAATGGCATTGCTGCTGATTTATTTAATCATTCTGAACATTTCAAATCCCATAGCAAAATGCACTTTATTAAATTTAGTTACTATTGATTCTCTATCATTTTAAAATACCATTGCTGGAAAACCTCCACCTTGTGCAGAAAGACTAACTGTTAAAACAGTGACCTTGTTTAAACTATGAGAGATGCCTCTTTCTGATTATGTTGTCTATGCTGCATCAACCCACCAATTAAAACTCACAGACATTTTAAGCAGTGGCGGTGGCAAGGAAGAGAGTTGCAGTTTTACAACTGACATTTCTTTGTGGCAGCTACTGTAGATTAAAAGAATCTAGTTTTTACACAGGTTGTAGTGTTAAATTGTTAGATCAGAATTTTTTCTATGCTGTATTGCAGTTAAACATTAATGTGTTTCTACAAGCAGCAACATTTTTTTTTAGTTTTAGATAAAATGGGTCCCATATCTGCAGCTAGTTCCCTAAGGTCTCTGCCACGTGAATTTGGTCCAGGTTAACCGAATCACCGACTACTAGGGAGGTAAACAGCGAAGTGCTCCCCTCGCTGTGCAGAGAACATGTCACCCTTGCCGGTACTGTACTGTCAAATCATTCCTTTACGATGGTTATTCTTAGCAACTTTATGTACTCCGCTTCTCCTCGTGTGTATAACACAGGCCCTTTTCTTTGCACCATGCAATAACTTCAGACCAGGTACTGAACAGTTAACCTATACTGGACACACTCAACATGACAGTCCAATATTACATCAACAGTCTCTTCATAACTAACTATTCACAGGCTGGCCAATGCACACCTTCCCAAGGCAGTAGTCCATAATATGGGAATGTCCTGGTCCAGGTGACATCCCCAGAGGGTGCTTTGCAGGTTGTTAGTGGCTACATCTTCATGATCAACCTCTTGCTCTTCTTCCCATGTAGCCATGGCTCCAAGCCCCCTGAGCAGAGCCT